TATTATGATCCCTGAGATAAAGGAATGAAACAGGGGATCTTTACTATTTCATAGATTTCCAAATAGAGAGAGTTTTGAACATGTGATGCAGTATAGGTCACCCAAACATGACTGAGATCATTCATGAACTGACGGCAAGGAGGCACTGGGAAAACTCAGGGGTTAAACTTATGGAGCAGAGTATCAGGTGCATAGGAGTAACCAAATTTATTTTCTTATTTTAAATTTATTTGAAAGATGGTTGTGTCCTTACAGAAAAAAAAAACAATAATGCACTATAATTTACACACTGATAATTATTACAAATTTAGAAATAAATGGTATGGCTAATTAAATAGAATGAGAGAAAGAAATGAAATTTTACTTCAGATCCTTGTAGGAAATCTTAGAGAAGCCATTACAAATATAGAAGGGGCTGAGGCTATAGCTCAGTTGGTAGAGTGCTTGCCTTGCATGCATAAAGGCCCTGGGTTTGATCAGCACTAAAAACAACAACAATAACAACAACAAAAAACAAATATAGAAACATATTTAAAAATCCATTAGTGGAGATAAAATATAAAACTGAAAGTTCCTCACTTTGTACAAAGAATGCAGAAAGTAACACAGATAAAACATAGCAAGTTGATAATTTTAAATTCCAACGTGTCAATAAATACACTAATGATAATCTGAACACCATGATTAATAGGCAAAAATAATCAGAATATATAAATAATAAGACCTGTTAGTATGTAAATTAAATAACAGAAGTGCACATTTCATGCAATGAAAGAGAGGTTAACAAAAATGACTGGAAAATAGACAAATATTGCAAATACTTGAAAGAGACTACACTGACTATATAAATATGGCTATATTAGTATCAGACAAAGCAAGTTTGGGGGCTAGGACTGAAGAGGGAAATCTTATAATGCTAAAGTATAAGTTCATTTAGAAGCTAACATTCTTAAAATGTGATCATTTAAACAAAGGAACAAAGACATGAAACAAAATTGTAGGCAGAAAAATAATGCATAAATCCATAATTATAATAGATTTCCAGACCCTTTCTTTGTATTTCAAAGAAAAAAAAGTAAGAAAGAAAGTCATTAATGACTTGTAAAACACTACCAAGTTTACTTTACATTTATGAAATACGAGTACATACAAGATTAAGTGTTGGGCCATAAAATTACTCTATATTTAAAAAATTAAATTCACACAAAGTACATTCTCTGTCCTTAAAGCAATTACATTAGAAGTCAGTGAACAAAAATATATCTGGAAAATTCCCCCAAAATTTGTATATTATACAATGTATTTCCAAATTACCTCAGTAAAAGAACAAAAATATATAAAAAAATGAAAAATTTTATACTCCATAATAAATGGAAACAGTATATCAAAATTGGTAATATTTAGCTGAAGAAGTGTTTCAAAATAAAGTAAAACTTTAAAATATTCATATCAGAAAACCAAAAAATGTCCCCAAAATTAAATAATTATTGGTCTTAAGAAGCAAAATAAAAGTAGATAAAATAGCAAAAAAACAATTAATTAGAAAACAAAACCGAAAAAGTCAAATGTTTGTAATTTTAAAATATCATTAAAATTCCTAAATCATTATGAAGATTGAATAAGGTCTAGAGTTGTAGCTTAGTGGTAGAGCATTTGCTTAGCATGTGGGAGGCACTGCATGTAAATAAATAAATACATAAATAAAAGAATAAGTTGATTAATTAGTTAACTAAAATGTCTATCAACAACAAAAAAGTATATTTTAAAAAGACTAATAGTAATAACTGTGTGTGGGGGGAGAGAGAGAGGAGAGAGAGAGAGGCAGTCACAAAGGGGTACAAAAATAGGCAGAAAAGTACACACAAATTCCTAGTATTTATGAAGAAAAGAAAGATGCTACTGTTATGTTTTGGATCAGGAATGTCTCCCAAAGGCTCATGTGTTGGTCCCTAATGCAGTAATGTTCAGAAGTGAGGTTTTGGGGAAGTGATTAGATCATAAGGCTCTGATCTTCTTGGTAAATTAATAATTTGATGACATTCTAGGGAGGAGGTTGAAATTGTTTTGGCTGATAATAGGCCTTCTACTTTTCCATATACTTTTCAAATTAAGAAAATTCATAGATTAGGAGAAAATGTATTTGAGATATACAGCCTAGTTGTAAGGAATGCTTCCATAGGACATGACTTTGGAGACTATATTCCATCTGTAGCCCCTTCCTCTTTCTCTGCTTTTGGGCCAACATGAGTAACTTTGCTCTGACATGCCCATTTTGCCATGATCAAGTCAGGCCCAAAGCAATGGAGTGGCTGATCTTGGACAGAAACCCCTGAAACCATGAGTCAAAATAAATCTTTCCTTCTCTAAGTTTATTTTCTCAGGTATTTGTCACAATGAAGAAAAGCTAACATAATTACGACATATTCTGCAGACATGACAAAGATCATAAGGAAATACAACCAATCACATGCTAATAAATTCAATAACTTAGATGAATTAGACAAGTTCATTTTTGGGCCAAAACCAAAAATCTACTTACCACAGCCAATACAAAAAAAAATTTTTAAAAATGCTAAATTCATTGAATTTAAAACAATCAAAATTAAACTTCTAGGAATGGATATCATCAGTGATTTTTAGCAAATATTAATGGAAGAGATAATGAAAAAACTCTCCAAAAATTCCTGAGGAATAAAGAGGAGGAAGAAATACTTCCTACCCATTTTATAAAGCCAGATACTCTGATTCTAAAACTTGACAAAGATCGTAGAAGAAAAAAATGCTATCTATTAATTATAAGTGCAAGATTCTTTACAAAATGTCAGTAAATAACATCCAGAAACATCCATATAGAGGACCATCCTGACCAAGTGGAATTTATCCCAGGAATGCAAAGTTGATTTACTTTTGAAAACCATTCATTAGAATTGACCATGTCAACAACCACCGCCCACCTCCAAACAAAATAAACCAACCCCCCCCCCAAAAAAAATATGGTCATTTTAATAAACCCAAAAAAGGCATTTCACAACTACTAAAATGAACAAGAGATGTTAGTAAGGCCACAAGATAGAATGGCAATATAAAAATTTACTGTATGTATAATGTAAAACAAAAGGAAATTTCAAAAATCCATTTATCATAGTAAAAAAATCTTTAAGTACACACAAAATATTTTAACAAAACATATAAGCTCATCCATACATAGAAAACTACAAAATATTCTGAAATAGTATTGAAGATGTCTATAATGAAGAAGTATATCATGTCCTGAACAGAAAACATCATGAGTAAAATGTTTACCCAATTTTGATGGATAGATTCATTGCACTTCAATCACACTTTCAACATGCTGTAGAAATTGACATTAATTTGAAAAGTATATGGAAAGGTAGAAGACCTATTATCAGCCAAAACAATTCTGCAGAAGATAATGGGCAGTATTCACATTACCTTGTTTCAAGAGTTACTATAAGATACAGTAATCAAGACAGTATAATTGCCATATAAACATTATAAACATAAGGAACCCAGGAATGGATCCATGTGTATGTGGTTAACTGGAGGAAAACAAGTCTTTTCAGTGTGCCTATACAATTTGATATGCATACATAAACATTAATCCTTGAACCACATGTAATTACCTTAAATTGAATTACAGACCTATGTATGAACGCTAAAATTATAAGACCTCTAGAAGAAGTATGAGATAATGTCGTCAATATCTAGAAGTAGAACACAATTTCTTAGGAAAAATAAATATGAAAAAAATATAAGTTGTACTTCATTAAAATTTAAGACTTTTGTTCATCAAAATACATTAAGAAAATAAATATGAAGTCATGGATTAGGAGAAAATGTGAGATATATGTTTGTGTGTGTCTGTCTATCTATCTATTTATCTATCTATCTCTAGAATTTAAAAACAACTCTCCCCAAGGAGTAGCAAGAAACAATCCAAGTTTAGAGAGGCAAAGACCTGGCAAAATTACAACACAAAATATGCGAACAGCTAGGAAGCACATATAAAGTTGCTTGAGATCATTAATCATTAAAGAAAATTCAAGGTAAAATCACAAGGATGTTACTGTTTTACATACACTTGAATGCTAAATTTTCAATGGCTGACAACATCAGATGTTGGTGATAATGCAGAGAAACTGACAGTCCTTTTCCTTGCTGCTGGGAGTATTAAATTTTAAAATTTGAAATTGTGGAAACTGTTTAGTAGTTCCTTATAAAGTCAAAACTATAAAGCCCTATTACCCACAAATTCCTCTCCTAGGTGTTTCTCCAAAGGAAATGAAAATATGTGTCCTTGTAAAGGCTTACAGAAAAATGTTCATTCTCCCAAGAGAAAAGCAGATAAACAAAATACAGCTTATTCATAGAACTGAATCCTGCTCAGCAGTAAAACATGTGAATTGCATAATACATACACGGTTGAATCATCAAAAAACTCAAGCTTCGTGAAAGAAACCAGACATAACATATCATATTCTGCATGATCCCATTTATATACACTTCAAGAGCACACAAATATAATCTATGTTGATAGAGAAGAGTTCCATGCAATGATGGAAATAGATTTAACACGAATTTCTTTGGGATAGTATATTTGGATTACTAAGTTTCTTTGGCTTGGTTCTGGTTAATTTTTGACTTTTTTCTGGCTAAGAAGCATGTAGATTTGAGACACGATGCACTCCTTTCAGTTACTTAATATTTCAGTGACACCAAAATTACAAATGAAGCTAGTGATTAAAAATAATTTTCAAACACCTTTCAGCTTTTAAACTTATAAGGATTATAGATTCAAGAGGATGGTGGGCGTCTTAAGAGCACAAGACCTTATATCACTTTTGTAGGAAATCCTACTCAGTCATTTGCCCATATGGTATGTTCATATCATATCCAAGGTTAAGATGTAGATTGAAACCAATCTACCTTGTTGTCAGTTGACTAATGCTGAAGTACTTAGCACCTACATTGATACTCACCGATTATTATTGGCTGTGGTTCACTTTTTACTCCAACCCCGGCGCTGGTACTAGCCGCCACCTCTACCCGGTATTGAATACCTGGGAATAATCCACCAATTATTACAGACCGAATGGCTGCGTCCACAGTTTTGTTGATATGGAATCGTGTTTCATTTCCCAGACACCAGATCTACACAAAGGGAAAGTGAAAACACACAAATATGAGAATCCCATTTGTGGTAACTAAATAACTATAATTGATTAAATATTTTTTAATTGTGACCAATCTATTTTCTGGTCTCACAGAAATGTTTGTGAATGACATTTCCCAAAGTCCAACTCCTGCATTTTATGTATATGTGTGAATTAAAGGAAGAACAATAAAAGAAAATACAACTATCCCACATTCAACTATATGTATATATATCATCAAGGAATTCTGAAAAATAATCTGTAACAATGATTCCTTTAACACCTATCTAGAAAATGGTCTTTAGTTGGAAATAGCATTTTGGTACACATAAAAACACATACTTTTTTCCACTTAATTTATCAAAATTTATTGTGCATTTAACTTATTTAAAATATGATGGTTATGAATTATAATGTCTAAGGCATATAGGTGTACATCTAAGTAATTTATATTTCATTTAAGAAAATATTAACTTACACAGAAGTAGTTAGTAAGATTAATTGACCTAAGTTATAGGTATTGACTAAAATGAGATTAAAGCCAATATTTACATTGACACTAATAAATCTTTATATTGATGAATACATATCCACACACACACACACACACACACACACGAAAATAAAGTGGTTATAAGACTGTAGACACTGATGTTAAAGCACCTAGGTTTTTACTCCAAGAAGAAATCATACTTTAGAGCATATTTTCTTTAGGGATATGAAAAACTGTAATTGAAAAATGCTTGTAAAATAATTCTGCTGAATATCTTTATTTTAATTCATATTATACTTCATAATCTACATATAGATGAACGTGTAGGAATACATAAGGTTTGTTTCTGAAACAGGTAAGTCCCTAAATTTTTTTAGCAAAATAATTCTTGTGCATCCTGTTCCATATTTATATTTGACATCTGTGTCCCTAACAAAAGAATATTTATCCCTCATCTATGTATACAATTTGGTAACAAAATATGACAGATTTATTATGAGTGGAAAATTTTATAATTTATGAAAAACATTCATCATATTGTAAATAAATTTATCAAAATTTAATTGAAAGTAAATTTAGGGTATTCAGACCTAGGTGGTACTAAAGCAAATTCCTCACCAAATTAAATCATAGACATGCACACACACATATATACACCATAGTGATTAATTATCTAGTGTGAAAACAATGTTCTACTATTTTAAAACTTGAGAATATACAAAATTATGCTATTATGAAGACATTTATTCTTATACTTCTTTAAAATGTTTGCTGATAATGTGATGGTAATCATTTTAAAATAAAACCTTATGCTTTAGTCCATTCATGTGCTTCCAAGTTGACCTTCAATTTAATACAGTTCTATTTAAAATATAGGATATTTTTAGAGATAAAATTCAATCAGCAATCTTTTGAGTGAACTATTTCAACTTTATTTCACATACCAACTATGGATTTCTGAAGTAAAGTGAATTGTTCTTTATTACATTATTTTTATTGCATAAGTTGTTTTCAGAATTCTAGAAATATTTCCTAATAGCAACATAGTTTTGAAATTTTACAAAGTTTAGTGAGAAGTTTTACACTCACCCATGGTTTAATCATATCAATTAGGCAAAATTTTATTTTGAGTCCTTAGACATGGCCTGTGTCTTAAACATTAAGGATGAGGATAAAACAACAGATAAGCTTTCTAAATAGCAACAAGTTTACCAATTAATAAAAGAGACAAAACTTTTTTTAAGTTTTTTTTTTATTTTTTAATTTGTTGTTTTAATGGTCACCTTCCCCCTGCCCCAAGGGAAATATCTTTTAAAATCGTAATAAATAAATAAAAGCAGAATATAGAGTACAAGTTGGTGTTGCCATCTTGTATCCCTACCTTATCCCCTCTAAATCCAAAATCTCTCTCCATTTCTTGAGAACCAGTTTTAAACAGCTGCCCTAAGTCCCTTACACAGAATTTAATAATAATCATGCAGTCAATTTCTGGGATGACGTCTTTACTATCTACATCTATCCCTATCCCTTTAAATCCTTGGTTCCTGAATCATACCATATAGAAAAACATTCCTCTGTTGTAGGTTTTTTGCTCAACTCAGTTGTGTGTCTATAATCTTAAAGTTAAGTTGTGATTCCCGATGCATTTGTTTCCTTACCTGTCATACAAAGGTATAATCACTTCACATTTTAAATGAATAAGATAATATTTAGAGCTGTCTCTTTCTCATATGACACTGAACTTTCTCCAAAAAACTATCCATAAACCCTCCATGCAGGCCCTACCTTGTACTCTTGGATTATTCCATTCTGGTGATCTGGAGGAGGAGGATCCCAGGAAACACTAATGCTTGTGCTATTGTGGCTTCCGACTGTCAGCACAGTGACAGATTGTGGAGGGGCACTTGGGGCTGCAGAGGGAGTAATTAGAATAAAGGCAGACTTTTGAGTCTCAGTGTACATTAGTACTACTTACAAAATATGAATAGAAAGGCAAGACCAATGACATTCTGGCTTCCAGTAGTTCTAAATCTGTATATAGCATTTAACAGTGACAATTTTTTTTTTGAGAATTAAGTCATTAAACTCAATGAAAAAAATTAAAGTAAATACAACAGGTGGGGAAACATGCACTAAATAATAAATTTAACAGCTAACATGCTAATGAGTGGTTTTTATATGCCCAGCACCAAAATGTCAATTTTCATTATCACCATAACCTCAGTGGGTAGAAGTAACTCTTAATTTCACAGAAAAGGAAATGATCTACTGTAAGAAATTTATCCCAGTCAAATGAAGCCAGGCATGGTGGCACACGCCAGTAATCGCAGCAGCTTGGGAGTCTGAGGCAAGGGGATCAAAAGTTCAAAGCTAGGCCCAGCAAAAGCCAGGCACTAAGCAACTCAGTGAGATCCAGTTTCTAAGTAAAATACAAAGCAAGGCTGGGGATATGACTTAGTGGTTGAGTGCCCTGAGTTAAATTCCTGGAACTCCCTCACCAAAAAAAAAAAAAAAAAAAAAAGAAGAAGAAAAAAAAGTTAAATGGTAAGTCAGGATTTGAACCAGGTACATCTGTTTTTAGAATTTGATCATTTCAATTCTAATAGACCATGTTTCTGAAAAATAAAACCATAGCTTCCAACCGAAATTATTTTGAGAGTATATATATCAAAATTTTATCAGGTGTTATTTCTGAATAGTGGCATTATTGACAGTCTTTTTAAAAATATTGTTTTCAACTGTGTTTAGTAAATAAAAACAGAAACACAGATATAAATTTCACCAACAAAGAAAAACAATCCTTTCACACTGGGAACAATAATTGACTCTCATAAACTGACCCGTAATTTAAGATTTAAAACTGATTTTATATGGATGGGCAGGGGACTATGATGATAAATATGAAAACAGGTTCATGTTGGGTCAAATGTGAAATAGTCAGATTTTGATTTCCAACAATAATTCTCTTCCTTTATAGTTTCTCCTATAACTAATTACCACTGTGCTGAGAAATGGGAAGCGAGAAGGTTTTCCTGAATTTAGACTAAGCATATTCCATACAGTGCATCTGAGAGTTAAGAAATATTAATTTTGCAAAAAAAAAAAAAAAAACTCATTTATTTTCAGTGAATCTCTGAATTTAAACCAAATGTAGAGAAAGCATAATAAGGATTCTACATAAAAATTCCTTGATAATTAGAAAACAAATAATTTCATGACATTAAAGGATTTTTAATATAAAATCATCAATGCTTTTATATTCTGCAATTTAGTCCCTTAAAAATCGTATCTAAAAGATATTTTAAAGACCCATTGATAAGGTTTTTCCCATGTTTGGCAAACTTGTCAGGACATAAATTTCATTGAGGAATGATCATATTTACATTGAGATATAGGATGTACACAGACATGTGATAATACAATATTGCTCTTTTCCTATTCCTCTATGTGACAATATTGCTGTAAAATGGGGTATGATGACATCAATCTGACCACTTTTCTACCAGCCTTGTAGTTATTAAGTAGACTGCACTGAAAAATAACACTTTTGAAACTGGCTTTTCATTCTCCTTGCTGCTGGCTTGGCGAGAACACCAGGCCTGCTTCCTGACAGGTCAATTATTCTGGTACTCAGCTTCTTTGTACAGATGTGAAAGAACCCAAATCGCTGCTCATCATTCCCAGACATAGCCCAGCTGAGTTCCATTTGTTACCTTCACAAGGCCACAGAAATCAGAGATGAATGTACACTGAATGGTGACAAATGTCTAGGCCAGAGAAAAAGGCTAACTGCAGTGAAACTGACTTTTGGAGGGAGGATTCCAACGTGATCTTCTGTATTGGAGTTATCCACCCTGCTCATTAGTACTACGCTTGCAAGATATGGTAAAATTTAATGCTGGAGAAAATATCACCAATTTTTATCAATCTTGTATTTTCTTTTCATATCCTAAAAGTGAACCAATCGTGCCTTTAAAAATAAGGGTTTCTGCCCATGCCTGTGGATCACACTGTAAACTAATGTGAACATTTTATTTTTGCAGTGTATTATATTATATAAAATTTATGTTTTATAAAATTTCTTTGGTTAGACATACCTGTCAGTATATGCAAACGATATACATTTTCTTAAAGCCTTTTTTAAAATATCTTTTTGTATGAAGTACATTTAGACAAAAGGTTTTTATTAGGATTGGTGCACATAAAATTAATATAAAAATAAAAGGGGAGATTTGTTTTGTCATCCCACATTTTTATTTTAATAGCAATATTCATTATAAGCCTCTGGCTTACTGAAGGAGACTTTATAAATGGACTAGTTGAAACCTATATCAATCTTAGGTCCATCATAGAATGACTTTAAAGTATCTGTAGGTAAAAATTTTTCAAAACTAGAGAGAAGGAAAGAACTTTCCTAAGAAGAAACGTATTACAAACATGAAAGTGACCTTCCAAATCAGAACTTATGTTTCAGACTGGCAATGCCCACAGTAGAAAATGGCTGAGAAAAGAAAATATCCCATTCTACTACATTAAAAAAGGAGTAGTCACTGTGAATAACCTGTGATCTTGTATTTTCTACAGCCTGTCCCTAATGAACTGCACCCACATAAATATATGGAAATATGTTACAATCAAATTCAATGTCACAGAAACATATAAAACTTGGGGCAAATGTTTAAGAAGAATTTAAATTCAGAATCTATTTAAATTTTTATATCATTTTTGGTCAGATTCTGTACAATTCTTCTAATACAAAGAGAAAAATGACAGTGCCTGCTATATATTTTTCTATTTTTTAATAACTTTTTAGTTGTCAATGGACCTTTATTTTATTTATTTATATGTGGTGCTGAGGATTGAACCCAGTGCCTCACACATGCTAGGCAAGTGCTCTACCACTGAGCTACAACCCCAGCCTATATATCTTTAAATGTTCTCTGTCTAGTTTTCTAAGGAATATACTAAACTAGAACTGTAATAGAAATTGGTTTATTCATAGAATAAGTTTGGTTTACATTACAAATTGGGATACTCACCTTCTTCAGTAGTACGGACTGTTTTAGATTCACTATCCATTCCTTGGAACTCATTAAAATACGGTCGGACTTTAATTTCATAAGTGACTCCTTTTTTCAGATTGACTAAGACAGCACTTCGTTCAGTTGGGACTTTGGCATCTAAATTCTGCCATGAGGAGGTGGCTTGTAGGCCTGAAGTCTGACGATACATTACTCGGTAGCCTTGAATAAACTGAGGCTGGCGGTCAACCTGGAAAACACATCAAAGACCCTCTGAACCTGAAGGGAGGTGTGCCAGATTCACAAGAGACCTATCCTCTCTTCTTTGTCCCAGTTCAATCCACACACTTATCATCTCAGTTGAGACCAGGGCTTTCTAACTCATCTCCCTGCTTCCAATAACCTCTTCCAATCCCACATTCACATTGCCCCCAACATTATCTCCAAAATGAAGAGTAGGACAACTCTCTTGCATTCAACACCCATATTTATGGTTTTATATGTGATGTGGTATTTTTCAGGGATTTCCATTCTCATCACTTGTCTGCTCCTTAGACATTTTTGAGTTCTTACTAGTAGCTGCCAGGAATTCTGCTAAGCTCTGGGGATAAAATGGAAAAAGTTGGTAGAGCCAACTCTTGGCCTCCTGGTACTTTGAGTCCAGGTGGAAGGAAGGCATTATCATGCCTACTATGGCCAAGTTCAGTTACAGCATATATCAGAAATAAATGTAATGAATGACAGGCACCAGGAAATAAGAGCAGAAGAAGCTCAATGAGTTGGGAAGGGGAGGTAGTTTCCAGGACAAAAGTCAGATGATTTGCCATCTGCAATAAGAATAGAGTTTACCAGAGGAAAGGAAAGTGGGGACAAATGTGTAACCACCCTGTGGCTAGAGAGAGCATATAAAAGAGATTTCAGTTGTGAAACAAGTACTAATGTTTTAAATGCATATGAAAGCTTATACCCATTACCAAATATTCCATGAAAAAGTTTTTGTTAATTCAGTAGCTTCTTATTCTTTCAGTGGGCCTGCTCTGTACACAACTGAACTCTCTTATGTTTTCATTTACTTAAGGGACAATAGCTATTTTTAATAATGATCTGAGATTTTTAATTTAAAATTTAAATCAAATAGAACTTTTTATAGGTATTTTTATATGTATTTTGGTTCAGTCTCATGATAATTACATGAAAATCAAACAATATAAGTGCAAGTAGAAAAATAAACATGCTCCTTTTATACATTTATTAAACACTCTTCACAGGTATCTCAGAGTTTCTTCATTTGTAGGGAAAGGAATTTTAGGTTTTTTTCTTTATTTTTAAAGAGTTTTTATTCCTGTCCTATTTCTTAAGATGCTGTATTGAAGCAAAAATGGCGATGGTAACTTCTCCAATTAATATCTCATATTATAGTTTAATATTCATTTACTAAGAAGCTTTAAGCTTGATATATTTTACTGTCAAATCAAAAGTAAAGATTAATGGAGAGAAATAAAATCACCTCATTTCAGAATGGTTGTAAGAAAAAAGAAAGAGAGAGGTGATGATGGAAATGGTTATGTTAACTCTTAAAAAATTATTTATTCAATTGTCAGCTTGTTATGAACAAAAAATGTTTTTTTCATGAATTAACTTCTAACACCTCTTATTTAGATTCAGCATTGTTTTGTTTGTTAAGGGAAGTCAGCAAATCAATGAATATTAAGCTATTAGTTTTCAAATAATAAAAACGCAGAACTTCAATCAAAACAATGGAACATTTTTTTTTTCCATGTTCAGAATGTCCAAGCTAGAAATCTCTATGAAGTTGATGGGTCTGAGTGTGTGTGTATCTATATACAGCTAACTCCAGCCTTTCAGATGAGTCTCAACAAATATAAATTTCTTCACCCATTTGACAACTTTCTAACCCTCAAAGATTTTTCTGGAATTACTGCTACACTTGTATAAGATTATATCAAGAATGACTTACGATATTTGCCTGTCAGTAAATGGATGGATCTGTAGACTATCATGCTAAGTAAAAGACACCAGTTCCAGATACCAAAGGTGGAATGTTTTCACTGATATGTGGAAGCTAAACCACAATCAGGGGGATGGGGGATAGAAGTTCAGTGGAGTAGACAATGGGGATTGAAGTGAAGGGAGGAAGGATGGGAAAAGGAGAGAGTGGAATGAATCTGACATAACTTTCCTATGGACATACATGAATATACCACAGTGAATCTCACCATATAGTAAGTACATCCTCTGGAATATAATATATTCTACGTTTTAGTATTATATAAAAATGAATTCTACTGTCATGTATAACTAAAAGAAACCAATGAAAATAAATAAATAATTCGTTAAAATGACATTTTAATAAATGTGTAAAATCCCACTTAAGCAAAAAGAAAGAAAGAAAGAAAGAAAGAGGGAGGAAAAGGGGGAGCCCAGGTCTAACATAGAAGCTCGTGGTCTCTGAGTCCTCATCCATGTTACCAGTTTGTGTTCATAATGACTGACATATTTTTTTGAAAAGCAGGAGTCATTCTGACATCATAAAATAAGGCAACAAAGAAGCAAAATGTTAAATTTATAAGAGTCAAAGAGTGATGCTTTTCATCAAAACTGTCAAAGTTTAAAAAAAAGAAAAAAAACTTGCAGCATATGTTAAAACAACAACATCAAGCTTACATTTTATAAACTTCTCTGTGATGGCTTTAAGTGAATTTATATACTGAAAGAAAGACATAACTCACAATAATAGCTTGTTAATACTGAAAGAAGCAAGCTGTGTTTTTAAGAAGAACATTAAGCAGCTGTTTCCAGATGAAGGGAGTCTGTAAATCAGGGTAAATTGGTTTTATCCATGTTTGGTTTTCATTAATTAAGTGTTTTAGGGACTTTATGAAGCTAATGTTTACTACCCCACATCGCCTTGCTCACTTCAGTGGGCACTGTCTCCAACCCCTAGATAGTAATGGCCTACTTAATAGCCACGTGGTTTAACTTCAGTTTGTGCAGTTGCCAGGCATTTGGGGGGAGAGGAAATTTGTTGTTACAGGTGGAAGCAAAAATGAAAATGCTGAGCATTACCATTTAAACAAATAGGCTGGCTTTTATTGGATGTGTGTTCTACACCACTAACGTGTGGTGCTCATTTTGACAGGTAATCATTTTCAAGTTAAACCATACGCTTGTCACTAGTTTTATTAACATTCTGAGGAGAAGAAAAATGTGCTCTTAGAGTTGATTGCAATCAGAGTCTGGCCACAAATTTATAGGTTTATATGAGTTAAAAAAATACCACTGTATTTTGAAACATGTATTAAAAAGAATTGTATTAAGGAAGAAGTGAAATGATAAGGAAAACTTCAGATTTCCAGTATAAGACCTTGATTTCAAATAGAGTTTAGTCTCTTAAGTTTTCTGAGCCTTCCTATACTTATTTTGTTCAGATAATACCCTCAGCTCAAGGGTGCAAAAATAATCAGATGTCTAATTTCAGTAAAAACACTGTAAACTGTAGAGATGTGTAATGTTAAGGAGCTTTGTTTAAGAATCAATGTACTAAAAAGAAGTGGAATATATGGACTTTCAAATCAGTGTTGTTACTGAACCATTCAAGATGTTTAATAGCTACTTTTTCAATGAAACAAAAACAAAAACAAAAACATCCATTTAAATATACAATTCGAAGTGAGTTTTCTTTGATGGGCTTATCTGCTAAGGAACTGATCTGGTTCTAGTTGAGTTCAAAACAATATTATTTTCTATGTCAGTGTTGAGTGTTTTCGGAGTCAAATGGTCTGTGATCCTTTTGGCCTTGAACAGCAACAATAACAATCAAGCACAGGAATAATCATTGTTCAGTGAGTGACTATTTTTCTTTGTGGAACAGGTATTTTCTAATTGTCTTGCCTATCTTCATTAAAACAGTAGTAATTTGATCTTCTGAAATTAGCCATTGCTAACTATTGTTGCTGTAACTTCAGCCATGGGTGGGGCATGGGGATAATTTTTCAGTACAATGTCTTGTCTTTTCCATAGCTGAATCCTGTGGACCTTTGGTAAATCACCTCAGCTGCCCACAGATCAAATCACTTGGCTGGAGAATATATTCCTCCCCTTAAACTCCAACACATCTGTCATCCAAATGATAACAGTGTAACTATTTAAATAACCTACACATTTAGCAAGTTAAAATATTACAAAATTACAATTTCTTTGGCTATTGGTCCCACCCCCAATCAGACTTTTTTGGCTAAAACTTATCTCTCTCAAATACATTTTTTTCTTTCTTTTTTTTTTTTTTTTTTTTTTTTTTTGTGGTGGTTGGTGGGTGGGGGTGAGGGTTTGCCAAGGATTGAACTCAGGGGCACTTGACCGCTGAGCCACATCCCCTGCCCTATTTTGTATTTTATTTAGAGACAGGGTCTCACTTAGTTGCTTAGGGTCTCACTTTTACAGAGGCTGGTTTTGAAGTTGTGACCCTCCTGCCTCAGCCTCTCAGGCATGCACCACCATGCCTGGCTTCAAATACATTCTTACCATATATGTAACTACAAACTGAAGGGGAACAATACCCTGAGATATTATTGAATATGTTACATTTAAAAAGAAAAATAAAGACCTATGAAAGCAACTGCTTCAATTGCTTAATAGGCAGTTATTAAAAGAATATTTTGAAAAACAGACGTGAAAGAAAAGGATTCTATACTCACAGAAATCCCTGCCCAAGAAAGAGATAGATAAGCAAACTGGCAATGTCAGCCTTCATGGGCTACAGAGATAAATATGACATGGTCCTTTCCTGGAAGAACTCCCAATATACAGACATGCAATTTTAATCTAATTTGATGTACTCTTTTAAACTTAGTGAATCTTAAAGCAATTAACTTCATAAACATGATGACTTTGATTCTTCCCCAAATATTTTCTTCACTTAGAAGTAGCTTAAAGAAGCTCCCTCATTTTGTTGCATGTGGATTTCCAGTTTTCCCAGCACCATTTGTTGAAGAGGCTATCTTTTCTCCAATGCGTGTTTTTGGCAACTTTGTCTAATATAAGATAATTGTAATTTTGTGGGTCAGTCTCTGTGTCCTCTATCCTGTACATGCACAAAACTCAACTCAAAGTGGATCAGGGACCTAGGAATTAAACCAGAGACTCTGCGTCTAATAGAAGAAAAAGTAAGCCATCATGTGGGATTAGGCTCCAACTTCCTTAACAAGGCTCCTATAGTGCAAGAATTAAAACCAAGAATCAATAAATGGGATGGAATCAAACTAAAAAGTTTCCTCTCAGCAAAAGAAACAATCTGTGAAGTGAACAGAGAGCCTACATCCTGGGAGCAAATTTTGACCCCTCACATATCAGATAGAGCACTAATCTCTAGGGTATATAAAGAACTCAAAAAGGTAAGCACCCCCCCCCCCCAAAAAAAAATAACCCAATCAACAAATGGGCCAAAGACATGAACAGACACTTCTCAGAAGAGGATATACAATCAATCAACAAATATATTAAAAAAAAAAGTTCATTATCTCTCGCAATTAGAGAAATGCAAATTCAAAACTATTCTAAGGTATCATCTCACTCCAGTCAGAATGGCAGCTCTTATAAAGACAAACAACAATAACTGTTGGTGAGGATGTGGGGAAAAAGGTACACTCATACATTGCTGGTGGGACTGCAAATTGGTGCAGCCAATATGGAAAGCAGTATGGATATTCCTTAGAAATCTGGGAATGGAACCACCATTTGACCCAGCTATCCCTCTCCTCGGTCTATACCCAAAAGACTTAAAAACAGCATACTACAGAGACACAGCCACATCAATGTTTATAGCAGCACAATTCACAATAACTAAACTGTAGAGCCAACCTAGATGTCCTTTAGTGGATGAATGGATAAAAAAAAAAATGTGGCATATATACACAATGGAATTTTACTCGGCAATAAAAGAATCATGAATCATGTTGAATCATGGCATTTTCAGGTAAATGGATGGTGTTGGAGAAGATAATGCTAAGTGAAGTTAGCCGATCCCCTCCCATGCCCCTCAGCCCTACCCCACTATGAGTCAGCATCCTTATATCAGAGAAAACTTTTGGCATTTGTTTTGGCAAATGTTTAACAAATGCCAAAAGTTTTCTCTGATAAAAGGATGCTGACTCATAGTGGGGTAGGGTTGAGGGGCATGGGAGGAATAGATGAATTCTAGATAGGGCAGAGGGGTGGGAGGGAAAGGGAGGTGGTAAGGGATTAGCAAGGATGGTGGAATGTGATAGACATCATTATCCAAAGTACATGTATGGAGACACGAATTGATGTGAACATACTTTAGATACAAACAGAGATATGAAAAATTATGCTGTATACATGTAATAAGAATTGTAGTGCATTCTGCTTTCATTTATTTTAAAAAATCAATAAAAAAGAAGCCCCCTCAAAATTTACAGAGGACATGTTTTCCATTAAGAATGGTGGAAAATCTGCTATGAAAAACACATTGTTTCCTGGCTTGGGTGGATTTGTATCCAGTCAAAGCTACTGAAAGATAGAATCATGGCAGTCTGTACCACTGGAATTATTGGAGAATTACATTACTTTCATGGGATTGGAAGAATAGAAACTGTTATGTACAGAACATAAAATAGGGCAATACAAAATTATAACAAAATAGAATTAGGAGTACTACAATACTAAACAGTCACTATAAACTTAGTCATATTTTTATTAAAATATTATCCATTTTGTACAAATAAATTAGAAAATTTGAACAATAATGAGGTTTCATTTAAGAAGTAACAAAATGTGTCACCCAGAATCATATATCAAAATTTCATTATTAAAAGTTATTCCTTTCAATTAAATATTTATATATAGCTTCTCTTTAAAGTAAAAAAGAAATAAGAATGCATATGTCAAGTCTGGTAATTTGGGGCTGGAGTGTAGGTCAGTAGTAGAGCGCTTATATAGCATGCTCAGGGTTCTGGGTTCAATCTCCAAAGTTACACACATAAAAAAAAGTTAAAAATTCAGGGACTTCCAGTCTTTACCTATAAATAAACAGGGGAGATTAGGGATACTATTCAACCTGTCTGCATTGTTTTTCTTTTATCGAGTATATAACTGGACTAAACATTTTATTTATTTTTATTCTAATTTGCTATATATGACAATAGAATGCATTACAGTTGATATTACACATATAGAGCATAGTTTTTCATATCTCTGGTTGTATACAAAGTATATTCACACCATTCTTGTCTTCATACCTGCACCTAGGGTAATGATGTCTACCTCATTCCACCATCTTTTGTATCCCCATGCCCCCTCCCTTCTCTGCCACCCCTTTGCCCTATCTGGAGTTCCTCTAATCCTCCCATGGATACTAAAGGGACACAGCCACATCGATGTTTATAGCAGCACAATTCACAATAGCTAAACTTGGAATCCTAGATGGCCCTCAATAGGTGAATGGATAAAGAAAATGTCACACACACACACACACACACACACACACTGGAATATTACTCAGCAATAAAAGGGGATAAAATCATAGCATTTGCAGGTAAATGGATGGAGTTGGAGAATATAATGCTAAGTGAAGTTACCCAATCCCCAAAAAACAAATGCTGAATGTTTTCTCTGATATAAGGAGGCTGATTCATAGTGGGGTTGGGAGGAGGGGAGCATGGACTAAACATTCTTAACTGTTATTTTCATTTTTTCCTTTTGTTACACAATAATGTCTCCATATTTCTCAATATGGATGGAAAAGAATAATAGTGTCTTTTTTGGTGCCTATGATGGAATTAATCACTTCCTTTTCATTTAAATGTGTGCATAAATACTGTTATTGCAACCATTCATGTGTATCAGCAACTAGAATCACACCTTATGTGGTGCTATTCTCCATCTAGAACATAATTCATTCACAAAAAAAATGCTTGTTGAACTGGATTTGTTCAATGGAATTATCATGAGGAAGACATCAGTATGTTTCTCTTTATTGTGTTTTATATTCCAAACATAACTACTCACAAACTGACCAAAAATAACTAGTTTTGCATTCTCCTCTCTTAAGGGAGTTGGTAGGAATAGTGATAGAGTTCTTTCTCCGAAGTAACTTAGATTCTAAGAGCAGTAAACACATTATTTTAACTTTTTGTTTTCCTTCTACTTACATAATATCAAACAACAACAATAGAAACACAAGTACTGTCTAAATAAACAATATTGTAATTAAAGTGAAAACTCTTAACCATGCCCTCAAATGTTCACTACTTTAATAAATTCTGTCACATCCTCAGAGTGTTCCAAGTAGACGTACTCTTCTGACATTCCAATATGTATATTTTAATGGATTTTTCGGATTTATACTGGAGAGGGATTTGGACATAAATGAGAAGCTGGTGCTAACTATAGTGGGCACAGAGAATAGGATCTGGCTCCTTTAAAAACACAGTCGCACACATACAATAGGCACACACAGTAGCAGTATTCTCAAATACAATTGATATTTCTATTTTCATCCTATTTGTTGATTTCACTACAGCAGTTGCCATCTGATAAAAACATTTGCCATTTGAAATAAGTGTGTATTCTGACACATGTAATAATGCATGACACTTGAGCTTTCTTAACATTCATTAAAATATCAAATTATTACCTAAAGCTCACTAATTTTTTGACCACACATGCCAAATGATTAAAATTGTGTAAATGTTTTGTGCTGTTGTATCACATTCACCTAAAAGAATATAAAGATGGCTTATTTAAATTCAGAAGATAACTTCATCAAAATTAAAATCTTTTGTGCTTCAAATAACACTGTAAAGAATGTAAAAAAACAACCCACAGGCTGGAAATATTTGCAAGTCATATATCAGATAAGTGACACATCTGGAATAAGTCTTTAAGAAGAAGACAAACAATTCAACTAGAAAATTCCAAAAATTTGAATAGATATTTCTCTAAATAGGTATACAAATGCCTAACAAGCACATGAAAAGAAGAACATCATTAGTCTAGAAAGAAATGAAGTCAAAATCACAGTGATAAACTACTATACACCCACTAGAATAGCCATAACCAAAAAGAGAAAGAATAATAAGTGTTAACAAGGATGGAAGAAAAGTTGGAATGAATTTGGAGGAAATTGGAATGTTAAAACATTGCTGTTTCGAATACACAATGATATCATCACTTTGAAGGTATTTTGCTACTTCATCAAAAAGTTAAGTGGGGAGTTTCCATATTATTCAACAATTCTTAGGTGTTCACCAAGAGCAATTAAATGTATGTCCACACCAAGATTTGCATACAAGGTGCCATTATTTATAATAGCCAAAATTCCAAACAACCCATCAGTAGGTAAATGGATAAAGAAAATATGATATACAATGTAGTGCTATTTGGAATCACTATCCTGGTAAAGAAGGGAATGAAATCCCACAATAGAATAGTATGTTTTGAGGAACAAAGTACTGACACATACTTCACAATGGATGAACACTAAATACATTATAGTGAATTAAAGAAGCCACATAAAAAAGACATTATTATATGAATCCATACCCAAGAAAGGTCTAGAATAGAGAGCAAATTACTAGTTGCACAGGGCTAGGATATATAGTACAGAGAATGCCTATAGTGGGCACAGGGTTTCATTTCAAAATGTATTCTAAAGTTAGATTTTGATGATAATTTCAAACCTCTATAAATATAATAAAAATATTTATTACACTTGTACACTTTGACATGTTACTTATACTTAATAAAAGTGTTAAAAATTTAGAAGATCGAAAAGGTCATGTTTATAATTTTTATTCTACTACTCCACTTACACATTTATCTATTGAGTATTTTCATGGGTTATACCTGGATTTTAAATGGTGAGCATTTTAATTATTTGTTTTGAGTTTGGTTATCTGCATTTTATTGTTATTTCTGGTTTCCTTAAAGTATTACAAAATATTTCATATAGTCTTTGTCACTATACATAAAGCTGTCCATAAAGCCTCATATAGTTTTTAACAACTTACTGTCCATGTGACCTGAACAGTAGTGGGAGTCAGTACAACAGGAGTGTGAAGGCGAACAAGGACGTCTCCTAGTTCCTTCTGTACTTGTCTGTGGTCCACTCCTTGTGCTGGTGGGCTGATATCTGCAGTTAGATGAAATGAAAATTCCTGATTTTTAGAAATTCATAATAAAATTCCAATTCACCTTATACAAGTCAAATTATCCTTCTAGAACTAATTATAGGGGAAAAAATTACAAACCTTTCATGACAAAGAGCATTTAAGCATGTGTGTGTGTGTGTGTGTGTGTGTGTGTGTGTGTGTGTGTACTTCACAATGGTAGGACATAAGTTGAAGGATATTAATCTTCCTTACAATGGTTTAATGAAAGAGCATTTAAAGTCCCTCATCTCCATTCAAACGCAGACACAGTATTGTGGAAGATCACTAGAATGATCCTTTAGAAAGAATGAAGTACATACTCTGAGACTTTTCTAGAAGGATTGGCTTTATGTAGATTTTAGAGCATTGAAGGATTTTCCCCAGTGGTCAATTGAGACATATCTGAACACGGAAGGTTAGAAATTTGTTGAATCCCTTGTTTCAGGTTGTGTTTTTCTACCCCTTGAACTATTTCAGTCTGGGAGTATGGAAAGAAAAAATTGGGAGACTGGAACAATGAACTATGTCATTAAAGGTAAATAGAGTAGGAGAGAGAGGGGACAGAGCTCCTCAAATTCACAGTAACTGAAAAATTTAGAATACTGACAAAATATTCCAAAATAATAAATTTTGGCTAGAACTCCAATATCTGAATAGAGGAAATGCAGCTGCTTTCGGTGGTTAAGAAAAGAGGGAAAGAAAGAATGGTGATGTTTTGAATAAGACATGCTCAACTGTACATTGTATTGTCTCCTTATTCACCATTCACCTATTTACTTCCCTGTACAATGGTATATATTCTGTGTCTATTAAGACAAAATGGTAAGACATTTAATTGATATCAAACACTGAATTTCACACTCTTCAAGTTGTCTTTGACTGGTACACTTCAAAGTCAAGTTGAATTAAAACTACTTTATTTAAGGAAGGAGGTCCAATTTAAAATGATTTATTTTCTTCATCTTTTTTTCTCCTGTTTTCTCAGGCCACCATGCCACATTCTTGCAGAAATGTCTTTAAAGTGCATATCTTAGCTATAATTTAAATTGAGTAGACTAACTTAAATTGCAACATAAATACTTGGAAGCTATACTTGGGTGATTTTTCCCCCTCATTTTCCTTCTTTGTTTCATCCTTAACAAAACTGCAAAGTACAATCTTATTGAAATTAGGGGAGGGGGGAGTCCCTTTATATGAACAATGTTAATCTTTGCCTACATAAGTACACTCAATTGTGATGTTGATGGTGTAAACATTTAGTAGCCTTAATGAAATAAACAATTTCTGTGTTCTCTGATATTTAAAATCTTTGTAAAATAAGAGCTCTTTGAAAGTTAGTGGTTGCAAAATGCAAAACTACTGAAAGTGAGGTATCAAAAATGATCCTGACATTCAGACAAACAACATGAGTTTTCCTATTAAATATATGTTAAAAGAACATAAGTCTTTTGCTCTAGATAGTCTCTCAACTGAAACAGGTCAGATCACAAACAACTTTTCATTAATCTTTCTTGACCTTTTCACCGAGAGTTATTTTATGAGTCAAGATTTAGTGACTGGCATAGTTATTGAATGATCAGGACAATCTGCCAGACTCAATCACACGCAAGACGTCCACATTCTATTATCTCCTTACCTCACACTGCAGTTGTACACACACACAAAAAAAAAACTATTGCAACCCACACAGGTGTAAATGATCTAGGTACTAGGATTTCCTGAATTAAAATTATACATCTTTTCAATTTTGCATCCAATAATTTAATTTACTCATTAAATTTAGACACCCTATAAAGCAATTGGATCTAGGGAAGGTAAAATATAACTAGTTTCAGGTCTTCAGATTCTTTGTTGTGCTTTTTCTTTTTCCTGAGACAGGTTTTTTACCTACAGGCCTTTTATCATCAAGGAAAATTAATCACATTACTGCTTAGAGAACAATAGCAGAGTGGCATTCCCTCCTCTCTTGACTGTCATCATGTCAGCAACATTAGTCACGTGGTGACTTTATCTCACTTGATTCCTTTAAGGCACCTTCTCTGTTATAATGGCATGCTAGTTACTATCATTGAACTACATGGTAATTATAATAATATTTTATGGCTGTATAGTGCTTTTCATAGCACAAAATACTACTTTGAATTATATCTTGTTCAAAGCCTTTTACAAATAAGAAATAATTAACCCTTTCTCATAACTCTGTGGGGAGCAGTTTGCAGCAAATAATAAAGGCACTACTTCTATTGTATAATTCCCTTTACCTACTAGTAGAAAAGGAAACTATAATCTAGCATCCTGCATTCCATCTGAGATTCCAGTGACTTTTTAGTTGGAAGAGACAGGTTACTAAAGATGAGATGAGGACATCTCCATTTTGAAATCACATTTTGATATTCTAGGAGTTTTTATACTAGTCAAAAGAATGACAAGCCTCAGGAAGAAAACTTGATTTACTGTTTTCTATACTAAATTACTTTTTGAAACATTGGATTGAATAAAATACATCATAACTGTGGTCATTAAACTTTAGCACCAGCATCCCCAGGAGGGTATATTAAGATAGACACTGGCTGACCCCAGTGTTTTTGACTTGGAGCCTGAAAACCTGTGTTTCTAACTATCTCAGAGGATCCAGATGCTGCATTCTCAGGACAGTCACTGTACTATAAAAACAGAATTTCTGAAGTAATTTGGATACCCTATCTGAGCATCTATCCATTAAAATATCACTTTTTTTACTAGTATATAATTTCTTCCAAAGAAGGAGAATTTTTTAAAATTTTTATTTATTTTATTTTATCTTTTTTTTTCCCTCTTGTAAATATACTAAAGTCCTAGTTTAGTGGATTTACTTTTAACATGTAAATGTACCCGATTTAATTTTTCACTGCAAAGATCCTAACAGCTCCAGAGAAAGGAAAGAAAACATTTTAGCAAGGTGAACTGCTGACTTCTTTCTGCTTCACTAGATAAAGTCCAGTGAATCATTTTACAAAGCAGTGTACATACATGTACTTTTCCTCATGCAATCTCTTTGTTCTCAAATGTCCGTCTGATGCTTCTGGCTAGAACCAGTCATGTTTACAGCTATTGAAATTACCTTGTGTGCGCACAGGGTCTGACATAGGGCTTGGGTCACTGAGACCTTGGGGGTTGATCGCTCTGACCATGAACAAGTAGATTGTATTGGGTCGCAATCCTCTCACAGTATAAAGGGTGGTCTTTACATGGTTTGCCACTGTCTGCCAGCTATTGCTCACTGATTGGCTGAAATGCGAACAGAAATTTCAATTAAAGAACAGTCATACAGTTATTGGAAATGGAGTTGGGTAGCAATGACAAAGGTTAATGGCTGAAAATTAAACACACACACACACAACACTTGAAGTGTTCAGCCCAATAAATGAAACATTTGGATGAATTCAGTTTATTCAACAACAAAGCCGAGCCCACCTAACGGAAGTGCCATGCACAACAAAATTAAACTCAGCCCAGGAGATGTGACAGCCCTTTGCTAATGCATAGCAGCCCACTAAATGAATACCTGTAAAAGGAACAGAGGCCAAGATCACAACATCAAATTTATACAATAAGTATGGTCCTCATAAATGCATATATATACCTTGAAAAGAATTAACCTGCAGAAAGAATAAATGGACTACAGAGTAAATTATGCCAATATATTTTCCTGTTACAAGGTGTGTTTTCTTTTGCATCAATTCCACATGCAATATTATAATAGAGCCTTCTAAAACTACATATCTGTAAAAGAAGAAAGGAAGCATGTAATGAATATTTTCCCTTGGTTACATTTTTTTAAAAAAATTGTACATTACACAGAATTGTGATTTGGCATCTCAGACTGGTGAAAATATCTCTGAATATGTGTATGTGTGTGTGTGTGTGTGTGTAGACAGACCTTTTAGAGCCAGATGGATGGATGACATTTTAAAATACTTTGTCTATAGTCAAATGCTACTTTTGCTCACAATGAAGAAAAAATGGTATTAGGGAGGTTTCATTTTAGATGTCTTTAAGCATCAAACTATCAAACTGTATAAAAATAGTATTTTGAAATTTTGAAACTATGTACCTTTCATTATCTTAAATATGGATTCAAAAAGCTTAAAATGAAAGTGATCATTTGTCCTAATACTGACAAAGGACAAAGGCTATCCTTCAAAATGTATGATGTCATGATGTGAAATTGAACATGAAAGTAAATTAAGTATATTTTCCCATTTGCATAAGTATGCTATTAAATTCCCATAAAGTAATTTTATAATAATATTTGCTAATTTATCATTCATATCTGTAAGTTGATAAGATTTCAAATAATACATGAAAACATCTTTTCCTTTCTGCACTAAAACCACATGGAATCAGTTTCTTAATTTGGATTTACATTTTCTTGCAGACATATTTAATAGATTTATTCAAATATATAGCATAAAAACACTGGAATTAAGTTCTATCCTAATTATTAGGCATAAATATTCCAAAGTCTCATGCTTCAATAAATATTGCATAACATAAAAATGTGTCTGTCCCTAATTAAAGTATTGTCTTCCCAGTTCTAATGCCCCAATTCTCATTTTAAATACATATACTTGTCAGGAAAAATAAATGAGCTAAGTGATTGTGTCATGACTACATTTCTATAGATATAGACATAGATGATGCATATTTAATCCTACAATTAAGTTATAAATTAAAACATAAAGTCTGTTCTTGAATAAAGACTGATATAAAAGATAAATTCTTCAAATGCATCCATTGAACCCATTCTTATCATAACACAGCCAGATAGCTCAGGTGAGGCTTTAGTACTTAAGAGCTAAATTAAAAATACAACTAAGAAAAAAGAAATCATGCCATACCTGAAAGCTTCAATGATATATGCACTTGCTGGAAGAGTTCCAGGGGTACCTGGTTGCCAGGACAAGGTAACACTATTCTTAGTAACATCAGTGACCTGTGGTTTTGATGGTGGTCCTGGCAGGTCATTTAAATCATAATTTTTACTGATTGTTGCTCCAGATTCTATAGAAGACAGACAGAAAAAACTTTGTTCCTGATCAGTCATGTTGACGTTGATGCTTACAAGAAGAAAACAGTCTACTAAAGAAGTTGGCTTAGATGGTGAACAATTCATCTTCATTAATCAGTAGCATCTATGTAAGTGAATATCTGCTTTTCTTACACATTAGTAAATGCAAACTCTACTTTCACACATGATCACTAGAATTGCCTGCACTTAAGAGGATGTAAAATAACAAAAGTTTTCAAGAACAAATGTACTAAATTTCACAAATGTAATGCTGAGTGTGAACTGGTAGAGGGATTAAAAAGTGGTATTAAATGTAAAGACTTAGATTTACATTCAATCAATTAAAATTTTGATTGTCCACTACCTTGTTATTTAATAATGAACCATCATTATGAGGCTCAAGATTTCTGCTGCTAAGATGGTTCACAAAGAGCTCACCTGTCACATCCAGCACTGCACTCCAGGAAGTCTCCCCACTTGAACTTGTAGCCACACAAGTGTAAGTGCCAGTGTCAGAAATCTAGCATGCATGGAAGGAGAGAATTCAACTGTAATCAATGTGCAGAATAATTACTCAATCTCAACCAGGCAATATTTGATTTTTTTTAAGTGAGGGATACCATTTGCCCATCTAAATAATGCATTAATTTTATATATATATGAAATATTAAAATAAATTCATACAATGTTATTCATAGCATTGATTTAAAAGTTTTCAAAATTATATTTCTACAATTAAATGTTATTGGATAAATTCTATTTGTCTTTTTTCTTTTTTGATAATACTAATCTCTTAATTCCATTTTATAATGGAGCCTATCGTGCCAGAGTTAAATACAGACAACTCAGGACAGAATTCATTCATAATATCATAAGGCTACACACCATCAGTAATGAAAAGCTGTCTTTTCTGTTTCAAATAAACTATTTACTCTGGTATAAATTAGCAATGAGATAATAGGAGGCGATACTTTCTTTTCAAAAACATGAAAAAAAAGAAGAAAAATATTTTTTAAGAAGAAAAAAATTTTTTTTGTCTTTTAACGAGTTCAGTACTCACTTCTATGTTAATTGTAGCAGTGCAGAATACAGTAAAAGAAAGTTGTGTCATACATAAATCAACAAATACTGACTATGGAGTTAGTGTTGAAAGGGATCATAAAAATAATCTAACAAAATTCAAACATTTTTAAAAACTGACATTTCATTGAGGACTGAAAATGTTTTCATTACTCATTGAAGAATAGCCAACGACATTTAAAAAGAGGTCTCTTTTACAAATCTAAGCCAAAAGATTCTCTCAGTATACTTTGAAAATAGCCCCAAGGTCAATAAAAGATAAAGTCCTCACTGTGGTTGAGCCTTGTGGGCTTCCATGGTAAACAACACTCACTTATATTGGGTTTAGGAGAATAGGAAAAGTGAGACTGGGAAGAGAGGCTCATGAAAAAAGAGAATAAAGCAAGGCAGAAGACATAGATTAAAACTGTGATGAACTTGAACTTAATTGTTGGTGAAATGTGGGAGTTCATAGAATATTACATCTGTCAGGTTCAAAATGTAAGTGTATTGATGATTCCAGCTTTCAGAATGGATTCTCAGGTATATCATTAGTGCATGGATGTTACTGCCATTTCACTGTTTTAATTGATTTTAAATGTCATTATGTATTTTAACTTAAGTTTCAAATTGCTCTGGCACGTCATTCTTTGCCATATTATCTCCGTACAATTGTCTTCTATTACACAGAGGGATGATGGGAATAGCCATTGCAGAATGAGCCATTCTTTCAAATGTGGCTGGGTGCACATTATAGTCATTAGAAATCTTTGCATTTAAGAAGCATCACTCACAAACTAAATAAAATGAGCCGAGGTTGGATTTTAATGGGATGTTCATTTGAATATGGACTGTGAAAGAGTAAAAAAAATTTGCATTTTATTATAGCTGTTGAACTAAAGCGTAGCACTTGTTATTCTGTGCAAATGCTAAAAGAAGAGTATGTAGGTGATGCTTCTTAACTGTAGCTCCTTGTCATTGTGTGGAGATACAACCTGACATTAGCTGTGGTAGGTAGGTTTTAATGAGTACCGGAATATTCTACATCTCAAAAGATACAGATTCAGTTACCAATTAGCTGGACTATGAGAACACTGTATTCATCATGTTATTTTTTTCTCTTGCTTTACATACTGAAAAGGAAATAGTAAGACACAAAAGAACATGACCTATAGAAAACCTTTCTTGATTATACAAGTGAAACACTGAAAAGCCTATTTGAATCCTCCTGGAAAGAGACTCATTTTACAGAAAAAGAATGATGTGCTTACTTTGGTGTTTATCAAATGTCTGAATATCATTGATAAATCTCACTATTTTATCACCATAATCATCAGCACTTCACTCTCTTTTATTGTTTTAACTTTAAATAATAACTTCTCTGGACAGGAATGCTTCACTTCTCTTCCAACCTTATCTATTCATCTCACCAATTGCTTTAAGAGGTGCATATTCTAGCTCACTCCATCCTACTTTTCTCCTTGTGCAGTTGGCTACAGACAAGCCCCTAGGAGCTGGCATCTTAGAGACTACTCAGAAGCCTGTCAGGGCTCCGAGTTTGACATCATCAAGCATGCACCTTTAATTGCTTCTTTCAAACACTCCTAGGAATCTTGACTCTTCGAGAATACCCTTTAATTCAACAATACAGCAAAAATGCATTAACCTCCATGGCCCTAGGCTGCCTTAGGCCCAGAGAGAGAGGTTAAAGTGTTTACCCAAGGAGAGCTGGCATTAATTTTTTAATAACTTCCATTTTGTTCAAACAAAGTTAATAACTAATTTACAATCAATGAAAGGACAGATTAAAAAGAGTCTGTATTAATTTATTTTCCTTTAACTGAACTTGATGGTAGTTTTGTTACTTAAGAGCAATAATTAATGCCTATGTCTCAAAATCATATATGTGTTTGTGGTGTGTGTGTGTGTGTGTGTGTGAGTGTGTGTGTGTGTGTGTGTGAGTGTGTGTGTGTGTTTATATATACACATATACACAGAATAAAAAATGTACGCATGTATTTGCTACAAAAGTAGGATCATTCTTCTATTTGGCGTGTGTGTGTGTGTTACAGTGATAAATAACCAGATAAACATATAAGTGTAGATAACATTTCCCATCATATGGGAAGAACCCTTTTCATTTGAAAACATTTATAGTAGAACATTTTTTACTTTCCTCCTTGGCTTCTGAATGTGAAAATTGAGCAACATGGTTTTGCTTGTTTGTTTTTTCTTTATCTTTCATTCCCAATTTCTACCTGGATATCAATTTCTACTAACTGTTCTTCAACTGAAAAAAATGAATTGTTTTCAATCCATTTTTCCTCATGCATTATATTATACCCAGTATCTTAATTCTGGCTCTCAATCCCAGTGCTATGAATATATTCTCCAGCTTTAGTGTAACGCTTGCAACATGGGACAAGTAGGGTAGAGTAACTATTCTTGGTTGAATGAGTTGAATATACTGGCAGAGAACAGATATCCCTCATGGTGACATTCACCTGGATTTCACAATTTCCATATTCCACCTGAGTAAATTGAAAACCATTGGTTTCAAGGTTTTAAGATATCTCGTTTGTGACTTTCGTACATAGGATTGCAATGCCTATTTGGGTAGGAGATGATCTTCCTTGTTGACATAGAGGAAGGAGGCAGGCATATTGAGAAAGTCCACATAGCAATGTACTAAAGGCAGCCTCCCACCAGCAGCAAGTAAACTGAGGTTGTTAATCCAGCAGACCCAAATAATTCTAGGCTACCAGCAGTCATGGTGATGGAAGCAAATCTATCCTGTCAATCTTCATATGAGCCCTCATCTCCTCTAACTGGCACCTCCGATTATACCTCTAAAACAAGTGGCCCTATTAAGTCATGGTCATGCTTCTAACTCACATAAGCTGTGAGATATTAATAATTGTTTTACTTCCAATACTGTTACATTGTAACAGACAGTTAAAAAATATTCAGAAGCACACATATTATTTTGAGTTGCTCCTGAAGAAGTACCAACTTGCTAAATTTCCAGGAATGGTTGCATAAATTTCAGTTAAAAGATCACCAACAATTTGTTCTCATCCTGGGGTTTAAATGAAAAACCCCACAGCAACATCCCCTAAAACCTAAGGGTTTCCTCTAACTAGCCAAACCTGCCTTTCCTGCATTCAGTCTAATCCCTTTATTTTTTCTACACAATTTTTTGACCAAGCCAATTTATCTACATCTTGCTATGATATCCCTTTCATCAGTGATAGTAAAATGAGAAGCATCTGTCACTTTTTCAAAGGATTTTATATATTCTACTACTATCCTTAAATCATTAAACTATGATTTATAGTTTCAATGATTACATACATAGCAGATGTGATACAAGAGTAAAAAGATTCTAGGTCTGTTTTGAATTTATGAGTGACATAAGGAAAAGACCCTTGCTCTAATTTCAACTAAGAATTTTCACAGTAAGAAGTAACATGCACAGAAGGCATGCTAAGATGTAAGATTTTAAGTTCACCACAAAATATTTCCCTATAACAGTTCTTATGTTAAGACAAGGACTCAAATGCAAACCAAATATTGCTTACCCGTAAATTCTTAATTTGCAGTGTTCCTTGCTCTTGTATAGATGCTCTTGAATCTCTACCCAGAAAAGTAAATCCCTCCTTTAACCAGCTAATGACTGGAAGAGGATCACCAGTGGCTTTACATTTTAGTAATGCTGTACCATCGACTGCTAGTGTTTGGTTTACTGGGCCTTGTAAGATTATTGGCGGAGGTCTATCTGTCAAAACTGAAGAATAAAGATACATTTAGTATATTTTAACTCCTATGCATTCAATAGTCTTAAAGTACTGATATTGTAAGTAATGTGAAAACCCCAAAGCCAAACATATTACTTAGAATTTACTTTGTGTATTTATTCAATACCCATCATATATATCATATATGTGCATATTAATCCAATACATAAGATATATATTTAAAAATCCTCCCAGAAAATAAAAAAGAATAGTGGATTTAAATTATTATTTAGCAACTGTGATGAAAAAAAAATAGTTTCTTTTCTCCAAAAAGTTATTTTTTATTACCAGGTAAATAATTAGAAAAGTAATTTTGCTTGAGGTTCTCAATTCCTTTGTCCATCCATGTTTGTAAACACCAATTTTCATGACTCTGTCTCCATCTGTATGCATCATATTTACACTAGAGTTCACAGATTTCGGTAAGAAATCATTAAAATTATCAGGCCTCTATACGAACCACCCATGACAAAACCAATCAATTTTAATTTAAATTAGAACTTAGGATAATAGGTCCCCTGCAAGTCAAGACACTGTAGACCCCAATGAACCTGAATTTATTATATTGATAATAAAAAAAACTATGATAAACCATAGAACAATTACTTGGTCATACACCAAAATTATAACTACTTATTTCACTGATTTTTTGGATCACATTCTTCATTTTAGAAACAAATGAAGAAGCTTAAGAGAATGTGGGATCCCAATATTACAATAATTCTGAGACATCTGGCAATAATTTGGCAAATAGAAATTTAGGCTAATGGTTTTACATAAATCGTTTATGAGCCAAAACTAGATCAATGGATTTGTTTTTAATATGGGGAGAAAAATAGGTCTTCAGAGTCTAACTTATTTATCAAATTATAAATGTTACGTCTTTGCTTCAAATTAAGTTCTTCATAAGAATTCCAGTAATTTCTTTTAATCTGCTTTTATTGTCATATCTCTGAAATCATTAGATGTAGCCAAAGGTCATCTAATTAGTCCCCTCTGCCTTTTTCTTCTTCTTCTTTTTTTAATGCCTAAATGAGTGGTTCATTGTCTTTTGAATGACTTCGATCAATAAGTGAATTGAAAATCTCCTGGCCAGAGGAATTCTCACTTTCAAGGATGTTATGGGTGAAAGATGACCACAAGGTTTCCATGACATTAAGGTCAAAGTTTAAATGAACATTTAGGGTTTCCAGTGATCTGTGAACAACTCCATGGTCTTCTCTAACTATGCATTATAAATCCTCAATAAACCATTCATGTAAGATTATGGTTTGACATTTATAGTCAGCATAAGACAGAAATGCATTTCAGTTCCCAGTCCTTTTAGATTCTATTCATCCCACCCATAGAGTTTTCTTTACAAGATTTTTTTTAACTTTAGGAAATAAGGGTAAAGGAAAAAAGTGAATAACCATGAGAAGATCTTTTAGAGGTCTATTTTGAAACTTAAGTATTTGGGAACATCTTAGCTCAATCCATAATCGGTACAATTGTAACTCAGCATGACATATTTCATCACTATTAGCAAGAGTATATGAATACTATATGAATGTTTAAATTAAAAATATGCTCAGTAATTGAGTTTAATGTCAAAGATATAACAAAAACATGGGTACAGATGGAATAAGCACTTGTTTCTCTGAATATGATATATATTTTTCATTTTACAATTTCAATTGACTCAAAATTGCCCTAGATCTTATCAAAAAGTACACCTAAAATGAAAATGATGGCTTACATGTGATTAAATCACTAACTAATCTGAAAAACCTAAAGTATGACTAGAAGCTGAAGTCATCAGCCAAGGACACAACTTCATATTTAGAGATAGTTATTCATAATAACTTTGACTTTTTGATTGCTTAAGTAAAAATCAATGTAGGAATTAATATTCAAAAAAGTTGTAACAAAATGCTCAGAACCATCTCAGTCAAACTGAAATTTTAAACTTGATCATGACCTTTTAAATTTTGACCTAGAATAGATATTCTAGCTGTGAGATATGATCAACTAACATAAGTTTTCAATTCATTGTATCAAAAATAATTCTCAATATCTACCTGTCTCATGAACCCTATCAGTTGAAACCACTACCTCTTCTAATTCACTCATTTTGTTTTCTACATATATGGTCTACTTTTTTCGTAGCAAATTATTCATTTAAGCTCAGTCTCTCTCATGTAAACTGCTACAAGTAGCTAGATTATAGTAGATATTTTAAGCATTATGTTTGAAATATTTTATAGCAATTTAGAGTAAATCTTAGGTTTAGGCCCAGATATCTTGTTTTCCAATATAAATACGTAGAAATTTTTACTGATAGAATATATGAGTACTTTTAAAATATTCATAATTATCTTTCACTCTTTTTAAATAAACAAAGAGGTAGAAACCATCAAAGAGGCTTTAAGGAAGCACTGCCTATTTAAGGAAGGATTTCTCATCACTGTTACCCTTGAACCTGACTTCTTCTTTCAGCTCCATGGCCATAAATCTCCAGAGCATCAGCAGGTGCAGACATTAATGACTCAATGTCTTCACAGCCAGTGTTTGTCTGTCCTATTTATTCCCATTCCTGACATTGTGCTGAATCAGGCCATACCATGGACAGATATTAAAAAATACTGCCTTTCTATTAATTTTAAATGACCTTTTAATCTACATGTAAATTCAAATTGTATGAAAGCACATTGAAATTTAACCAGCAGAGAATTAGATAAACCACAGACGAAAAGTCTTATATCTCAGAAACGAGCATGAGAAGGGAAAACAAACACAAAAAGCTCACCAATATAAGACAGCAATAGAAAGTTTTAAGGCATGGAAGAATAGGGAATAAATTCATGCTCAGAGGCTCAAAAAATAGCTAGAACTTCCTAACTGTCAATTGTGATGAATCTTGGGGAAAGATCTGAACCTTTTCAACTTTCACTCTGAATGTAAGGGTCTCAGTTAAGATTCAAAGTATATACGTGCAAGTAAAAAATAATAATTTTAGCATTCATCAGTGCTTCCAAAAGTATTTAATTAATTTAACTTAGTGAATATATAATTAAAGGCAGAGGAATGTCATAATGTGATTAGCTAACTAAAAAACTAATTCTCTGTTTCACTGATAATATTAAAGATGATATCTCTTATTCTGCAGTAAAATATAAAATTATTAACATCTTTGAGAAGCAGTCATGTCAACATAAGACTAACTAAAAGTATTCAGATTACATGTGTAAACACAATAATTTTGATGTCATTTCTTTAAAATTACTTTAAATTTAAAATTAAAATTTCTTTCAAATCACTGTTTTTAAGATTAAAATGGGCTGCCTTTGGGAAAATAAATGGCATTAAATGAAATACTGGCAGGTAAATTAAAAACTGTTAAAATGTGTTACTTTACCTAGATTTAAATTTAGAGGATAAACATTGATTTAAACCATTTAACAAATAGAAAAACCCCACATTTAATGTGTATCTTGAAATAAAAATCATATATTTTATGAGACGAATCCAAAAACAATATCGCACCATCGGTAACCTCCAGTTGAGCTTTTGCTAAAATGCTTCCTGCCACAGTCAAGGCCTGGCAGATGTAGTAACCCGCATCTGAGCGCTGAATGTTGGTAATGGTGAGGTCTCCAGTTGGTGACACTGAACATCTACTGTTGGGCTGCTGGGGTTGGTTTGGGAAAAGTAGGTTCTGTAGAAGCAAACACAATCTTATCAATATTTTTTTTAGCATTTACAAGGAAAATTGCATTAACAACAAATATTTTAGTTATGAAAAATATGATTGGTAAAAAGATGTACAGATTTAAACAAAAAAGTTTCCAAAATAATTATAGGTCTGGTAGTGGGAAAACTAACTGGGAAAGTTTCCAATCATGGTGTATGCTCTATGACCTCAACATACTTCAGTTGAAGGAATAATCACCCGCATTTTTAAAGAGCTGGATCTGTCTTTAATTTTTAAGTTTTGATTGGCATATAATGCTTGTACATTTTAATGGGCTACAGTATAAAAATTCAACACATATATACAGCATGTAATGATAAAATCAGGGTAACATTAAGGTTTCTTGATCTCAGCCATTTACTCTCTCTAAAATAAGTTTTCCTCATCTATAAAATGGGCAGCATAATTCTCATATGATTTAACTCCTACACAAGGTAAGGATCGAGAGAGTAACAATAAATGTGTAGGTGTTTTTTAAACTTACAAGAAACAAAGAATGTAAAATATAATTGCAATTGTTACTGATAATTTTGAATATTTTAGGACAACAAATTCAATTTTAACATTTTTCAAAATGTGTGTGTCTTTGACTGACAGAAAAAGCTGAGTGTATTGCTATAATGCACTGCAAATCATGACAACATCCCAAAGAGCTACGGACAAATCCTAATCTAAGCATGATAAAATCAATAGCTGAAAATAAAAGGATGTAGAATAATTATGGAGGTTAGAATGTTCTACCAAACAATTTTGAAGTATTATTTTTAAAAACATTTTACTATATATCACAAAAAAGCCTATCATATATCTCATATAGCCTAATCATAAATGTTGAAAGTTTTTATATGAGTGCAGTAACATCAATTTAGATGACCTATGTCACTTTACTGTTGTTCAATTAAGAAAAACATTTGGATATAATAAATCATATTGAGGTATGTTTCCAAGTTGGATTATAAATAAGAACATATCAATTTTTATGTTCTATTTACTTACAAAAAAGAACATTATAACCCTCGGGGATCTGTTTCTCAATGTAGTAATTAATTTTCCAGGTTTGTAATTAAACAGTTTCAATAAGTTGCAATCAGGAGGTAATAACATTCAATTAAAGGCACAAGACACATTTTCACCTTAAAATGTTTTTACCCTTGAAGTACTACCAATGGAAGAGGATAAAATAGGGTATTAACACTTTTCAATTACGCTAAATGACTTTAATCCTGCAAATGATGTCCTACTTTAATTAGAAGCTCTTCTCTTTATTGCAACATGATGGATGTCCACTTTATTAGATTCAAGTGTGACACTATAAGCCCACTTTACATAAACATTACCATGTTATTAAACTCCTAAAAGAAGAGATGTTTGCTAGCCTGTCAGGGATATGATTTCAAAAAAAACTGTTTCCCTCTCCTAAAATTTGTATTACTATCTAAGTCTAGATATTTTCATGCATATGAAACATAATTTGAGAACAAATTAAATCTCATGTGGAATCCAAATATATTACAGAAATAAACCATCCAAAAGAGAAGGGTCTAAATTTAAAGGCACTTGAAAATGATACAATAACTCAAAATGTGCACTTTCTTACAATTAGCCATTTGAATACTAATTTACATAGCACCAATCCATCAGATGGGCTAATTCTCTCTGGGATCTTTTCCTCTACGATGTAATATCAGTCCACCTTCTAAATGATCCATTGACATAGAAAATGGCATTTGATTGAGGTTAACTCATCATCTTTATTCCCTGCTTGTATGACATGGCCAAAAGAAAATGGATTATAAGCAAAACCAAGGAACTCCATAGAGCTCTGCTTGCCTTGAAGTGTCTGAGAATCTTATTAGTACTAATTGGCATTATCAGCACATATTGAGGAATATGGACCATTAAGTCCAAGCACTTCACTCTTTCTACTGATGGATAGTCATAGATCACCATAGAAATTGGATACTAGAGACAGTAAGACCAATTTATTTTTCCTAATATCCTAATTCATGATTTGAAAATTTACAGTTTGCTCAAGCACTTCTCTTTACTCTCTCTCCCTCTGTGCTTCCCTCTCTCCTCCCAATCTCTAGATCTCTGATGGGAGCAGATTGGTAAGAAGAAGGTAACTAGACCTATGATAATAAACAAGCCAAAGAAGCTAAGTAGAAATTTTGTGGCATCCTTAGCTATAGTATATATGGATTTACATGCTACTTTGTCAAATAGGAAAAGGAATACTATAATGCTTTTGATAACTATTTTCATAACCATTAAAAACAATGTTTAATACCATATGTGAATTAGACTACAGGAAAAAAAACATTTTTTATCTAACTTGGAGCTATTTTGAGGGATATTATGTACACATGAAATAATCTTACAAAAATAAATCATATATATATATATATATATATATATATATATATATATATCTATCAGGAAACATTATGAGATTTCACTCAAAACATGACTTAAAGTATGAATTTGCAATAATCAAATTGCTTTACATCATTATGTTTGCTATCAGTGACAAAATAGCAATTTGTGTTATCTTCATAACATGTAAAATCCTTTTACATTTACACTTATTCATGAAATCTTCATAACTCATGGGAGGTAAGATGTATAGTCCCAAATTTCAGATTAGTATAAAAACTAGCTTTAGTAAAGTTAAATAGCACTTACAAATACTGTGCAACAAAAAAGGAGAAAAATGGCTTTAAGGCCTCTCCTTTAAAGGTTGTGAGTGTGTATGCATGTGTGTGTTTAACTATCATATCATGTTTTTTCAGATTCCTGGAATGTTTGGGATAAATTCACGTGAGAGAAACTGAAAAGAATAGTCAAGGAAATCTACAAAGAGAAATACATTTTATAGCTGTTAAATGATTTTAAAAAATTGGGAGTTGAAGTCTGATAATTCTGATATGGGATAAGGCAGTGGGCATGACTCTCCTTTCTTCATTGCCTTTACATCCCTGACTCAGAAGGGAAGTGACAAGGAGTGTTGAGAAAGTAAGAATGACCAGGTGTCCATTCAGAGATTAAAACTGCTAGTTTGGGGGTGGTTCAGGAATTGCAGAGGAACCCCTGCAAATTAGAAAGCATGGCTGAGCAGGGCTTCCTAGAGGCTCTCCAGAAAGACAGACATATATGAGTTCTAATCAATAGGTTCTCTTAATGTAGCTAAAAACATTCCCTATCGCTGGCAAAGTTTTCAGATTTCCTATGACTTATAATAATATTTTCAATTAATCCCTGAGAAATTTTTTCAGAACCTGGACTAGTATCAGAATGTGCTGGGGAAGAGTACCACAAGAACTACATTTCTTGTCTGGATGGTTTTAGAGAATCTAGCACAAAATAATTCAAGATCTCTCAGGAATGCACAAATTTTTATGCAAAGATCACAATTTCAGATCTAATTTAAGCTGAAAGTTCCATTCATTGCCTCAGAATGTATAGGCTAAACACTCTCTGAATTTGGACCAAGTGCTAAATTATAAAAGTAATGTATCCAGTTGGCTTTGGGAGAGACATTGAGAGGCCATCATGTCCAGAAAGAGCAAAGCAAAGACAAGGCAGGTATTGGCTCTTTGTGTTATATATTATTTCTGTTTAACCCTACTGTGAAGAAATCCAGAAGGGAAAATGAAAGAAAATATTTCTTTAACTCTTAAGTGGAAACAGGGTTAAATTAATAATTTTTAAAAGTCATTTATATTTTCTATCTAGGAGTGGAGCGATATTGGATCTATGCCAATAAATGCTAGAAATATTTTTTGATCATCTTCCATGAGTGAGGAACTATTCTCAGCTCATTGTATGTCCCAACTCACTTACACAGACTAATCCTGTGCAAGAAAGCAAAATCACCTTAACCTGCAGAGATTTAAATATTTACAGAGGTTTGGTTGGATTTTTAAAATAAGGTTGCTACACTCTGTTTCTTGCAAAATGCAGGATTTTTAAAGATTACCACTAGCAAATAAAAAGTGCTAGAACATCTGTCTTTCACTTATTTTAGAATCATTTGCCTTTCTTTTAGCAATAAAATAAGTTCAGCATCTGATAGCAATGGAGGCAAGGCAAGCTTCAGGGAGTACCAAAGTCAGCAAAGTTCAGAGACTTCAGAAAAGCAGTCAAGCCTCACACTCACCTGGCTGCCTTCTTTCTGCCAAAACACAGCTGGCTGGGGGTTTCCTTTAGTTTCACAGGGAAATGTTGCAGTTCGACCTTGAGCAACAATCTGATCTCTTGGCCTAACCACAAACTGTGGAGGAGCTATAATTTAAAAGGAAAGAAAATGTGTAAATATCAACCATTGTCAAAGAAAAAGATATAAAAGAGAAAATCTGGCTCTGGGTGGATTGCTCAGTGACAAAGAGGCTACATTTTTTTTTTTTTTTTTTACTTACTTGTATGCATTTCTTAAAACACTAAGGGATTGGGGAAATAATGTGAGAAAACTTATTAGCAGATCTATTTTAAATATTGTCCATTATATTATATCCCTGTGTCCCACCTACTTATATGGGAAAATAGATCCCTTATGATTCTAACATTTTTTAGAAAAATGATTTGGTTATGTTTTTTAATAAGAAAAACATGGAAAGGAATCACTCCTTTACACAATTATCTCTTCCTTTAAAATCCATCTCCTGGTACACACTCATTTTATTATAATATTTGTAAGATATTGAATGAGGCAATGGGATGTCAGAAGGCATAAAATATGATCCATATTATTAAAATTCTTATATTCTGCAATTCAAGATTTGAAGATTAAAGACATTGAATTATTTAAGGGATGGAAGTTACATATTTGAAATAACAAACAATATAAATAAATGTATCATATTAGTTTATTCTATTTAATTAATTTCATTTGGACAGACAGGCAATAGTCAGGCAATTCTTATGTTCTCTTACTTGGCAGTAAAGTCACACAGGGTAAAGCTTTATATGATAGTCGTCAAGGAACTCAAAGTTGAATAGAGACTTTTTTTTAAAACATGATGATTTTGATAACAGTAAACAGAAAACCTATACATCTAAGACAATGGTAAGTGCAGTGGTAGAGGTCCTCTTGGAGCTCTGAGGGGAACTCTTCAGTTATGGTGTCCACAGTCAGTGTGACCAGACTTCAGGAGGGAGGGATCCCTTTGTGCTTGAGTGGCTGTGAAAGGCTGTGTGTGGGAAAGGGAAGTTGGGGGAACTCTGGGGCAAGGGATGCATTTGGATAAGGGGTTGATGAACACATTCCAAGCATAGGCGTCTTCCGGGCAAAGTAGAAGCAGCAAGAACATCTCCAGCCTAACAGTGTACAATCTGGCAGGAAAGGGAGGTCGGAGTTATATAAATATCATGGCAACAACGGAAGACTTTAGAAGCCATACTCACTTTATTCTGTCTCTTTCTGAGTGGGGTAGTGATGATAAAAGTGGTTTGGGAAGCTTTAACCCTTCAATGAACTTAGATTGGATGAGGAAGAATGAATGGGGTGAGTGACATTTAGTCACTAAAGCATGGAGTCTGATTAACAAGCTAATAAAATGGTATTGTGAAGATAATAAGAAAAACAAATGAGTAACTCTAACAGTAAAGAAAAGAGAGGGATGAGGGGCTGGGTACAGTGATGCACGCCTGTAATCCCACGACTCACGATGCTGAGGCACAAGTATCGAAAGTTCAAGACCACTCTGGGCAACTTAATTAGACCCTGTTTTAAAATAAAATTAAAAAACAGGGCTGGGGATGTATCTCAGGGATAGAGCACCTCAGGGTTTAATCTATCTATCTATATCTATATCTATAGATAGATAGATAGATATAATACAAAAAGAAAGAAAGAAAGAGGGCAGGGATGGGGTAAAAATGCTAAGACAGAACAATTTAGATTGGAACCTAATGATAAAGAGAGACAAGGGAGAAAAAACAAGAGAAAGTATAGCTAGAAATTTTCCCAAGGACATCTTCAGAACCAAACCCATATCAGTTGTAAACACCATGTGTATTCCATGACTTTTCTGATCATCTGTTTATATTTTAACTAGTTGCTTATGCTAGAAAACTAAGACCAAGCAAACACTTTCAAATCAGTTTCAAATTCTAAGTGTTAGAATCTGGTATACATCAGCTAAAAGGTGAGCTCTAAAGAACTCTGACAATCAGCAACATCCAATAAAAGACTTCACCTGGATTTCTTTCACGTTTTTCAAGTGCATAAGTGCAAATCCAAGAACAGAATAAATACATGGTGCCCCAAACCTAAAACCAATCATTCATCCTAACAAAAATGCTATCACTGTGAAAGCAGCGGTATTTTTCTCAAAAAGAATTCAGTGAGATTTGTATTGACTTATTTTTTTTTTAGGTGTTCTATTTTCCTGGCTCCTAATTCAAGATATCCAACACATACCCCAAGGACAGAAGGGATAAATCTACTAAGTGAAATTCTTTTCTATAACTAAAGATAACGGAAGACTCATTCTAACAGTACAGAGAACCCGGATTTATGGCTCTATTTGGACAGAGTGTGGTTTATGTTGCCTGGCATGCTCAGAAGATTACAGGCCTCTCACAATCTACTTGTTATTTCTACACACTTCTCCTGAATCAGCAGATACACTGATTTTTGTTCCATGTTTGCTAATAGAAATGATAGTTTAAATCAATGTTACAAAATTACTTTAGGAAAAACTTTTAAAGTACAGCAGTATTCATTTTTCAGCAGAAATGTGAAACCACTGGATATTTTTGCCACAGAAGATTAAAGGTTGGTCTTCATCATATGTAATATGGTATGGGATTTTTCTAGAAAAAAATGTTATGAAATATTTAAGAATCAGTGCATAGTTGTATGAAATCCTATGAAAGAAAAGTAATAATGCCAATGTGGACATTAGCTTTTTGAGAAGTATTGAGGAATTTAGCTTGTATGTCATCTTCAAAAATTAAAAACCCAATTCAGTCAAAATCAGTTATTTGACACTCTTTAATAAAAGTTGCCTATTCAGCTTATTAGTTCATTTGCACAGCTTTGGGTGAGAAAGAATTTAAATTGGCCTATATAACTAGTTAGTGAGACCTGAGAACCTGGGTACTTACACAATCCTCCTTTATATATGTATTTTTTTTTTTTTAAAAGCAATAACAGATTGAAATCATCAAATGAAACATAAATGGAAGCAATGAAAACATAGTTTTAAGCATTTTATTCTCTGTCATCTACCTATGTCAGTAAAAGCACTATCTGTAATTTAGATATAGCTATAGACTTCCTTGAATTTGATACTTAAATGTTTGAAAATGTGTTTTAGATGAGTGTTTTTGTAAAACATTTTTGAAATCCTCATCCTATAGTTTTATCACAGCTGCTAAAATGTAGTCCCCCCCCCAAAAAAAAGGATTCAGAATTGACCATATCTATGCATACATTTTCCTGAGAAGCTAGAGTTCATCCATTTATTCATTCAAAATGTACTGATTGAATACAAATTCTAAGACATTCTGCTTGGTTCAGGGCATGGGAAGCCAAATATTACATGGCACTTGAGTGGGGGTTTAGCTCACTGTTAGAGCTCTTATGTAGCATGCACAGGCTCTGGATTCCATCTCCAGTACAGCCAAAATAAAATAAAAAGAGAGAGAGAGAGAGAGAGAGAGAGAAAGAGGTATTGGGAGGTGCTCTCGTCCTACTTGTCCTATGGCAGAGATTTCTCAGGGAACAACACATCATGACACGATCTGTACAATAATAGAAAATGCAAGAGATGGCTATATTTGAGCTGTTATTTGAAGCACAGGTAAGAGATCACTAGATGAAGAGAATTAAGGTCACAGAACAAAGGCACCGAACATAAGGCAAAGACCTGTGGAACTGGATTTGGTACAGGAAGATAAAGAGTTTTGAAAGTAGAAGAAACCTGGTGTACAGAGCTGATATAGATAAGATCAGATAATTTATACAAAGGAATTTAAAATTGTGTCCTGAAAGCTATTAAGATCTTTTCAAAGATGATTTTGCAAAATAGATATCAGATACATGGTTTTAAAAAGAATGCTCTGGAAGCAATGTAGATGGTGATTGGAGATGATGATTAGAAAGACAGAGACAAAGGCTGGAACACCTTGGCAAGTTGGGACAGAAAATCCAGTGAGAATTGCTATGAGTAGCACCTAAAGAAAACATTTCATCAGAACTCCTACACAAAAATGAAGTGCTGTAATATCACAACATAATATTTACCACTCATGATATCATTTTGAAAGACCAGGAAATCATAATTTCTTGAAATTTTTCCAGTTTTATATTTTTTAAAGACCACTAACCAATAGCCATCAATCCTAAAAACTCTCTTTTCCCTGTGTTATCTATTTATATTATACTTTTATTCTAAGTTATTATAAATATGCTCTATTTCTAATGTATGCAATTATTTCATGTCAATAGCCTCATGGGTCTCAATAGAACCAGAATTGTTAGGTGTAAATTTTTTTTAAAAGAAAACTAAAAATGTTGAATCATTTAGCAAAACAATCTAAAAAGCTTTTGAGTCTCTGAAAATATATGTCCTTTTGTCACCCAAAGTCAGGCCAACAAATAAAATTGCAACGATCAGTTTTACTTTTGTAGATTCTCTTTCTCTGCCCAAGATCTATATTGCAATCTTCTGTGAAGGCATATCAGCTCAAGGAATTTACTTTTGAGGTTTTAAAATGAAAAACAGCATCAATTATTCTTCTGATGACACTCCACAGTTTCCGCATCTCTGCCAGGTGGCAGTGAGAATGGTTTGAAAAGAGAGTACTTGGCTGATGGCACCAAAGGGAGGGAGTAGACAGGGATGGCGTTTTATCAACACAGCATGATAGTGGGAAGTGTGCTATACATAAAAGGGATTTTATACAATGGTTCTCATTAAATATGAAAAAAACATAATTAGGTCCTCAAGATGACAATTCAAAACATAATTTAAACCCAATGCGATTTAAGGATATCGAGTTATAAACTCCAAAAGAATATGCTAGTTATAAAAATGGCAATTCTCTGATGTTTGTTAAGACAGATGACTATGAAATACATATTTATGTCCTCTCTAAAACCTGAAAACATTAGACAAATTTCTTGTAACTATGCTGCAATAACCTACTTGCTTACTATGTCAAGTGATTATACCTTATTGCTTTAGCTATAAGAAGAAATGAGATGGAGCAGAGTGATGCAGTTCAGTATTTAATCAACACATACACATTAAAAAACAATATCTCTATGAGAAAAG